GTTACTACTGCCCAAGTGCAGCACCCTGCACTTTTCTGTATTGAAACGCATCCTGTTTTTGTTAGCCTACCCTTGCAACCTATCCAGGTCTTTCTGCAGTCTTTCCCTCCCTACTAGCATGCCCACCTCACTCCAAATTTTGGTATCATCAGCAAATTTAAACAGGTTGCTTTTCACCCCGTCGTGCAAATCGCTGATAAAGAAATTGAACAGCACAGGCCCAAGGACCGAGCCCTGGGGGACTCCGCTGCCCACTTCCCCCCAGTTCAAATATGACCCGTCCACCACCACCCTCTGAGTACGACCCTTCAGCCAATTAGCAATCCACCTGACTGTGTAGGCATCGATGCCACAGTTGCCTAGTTTTTTAATGAGGATGGGGTGGTTGACAGTGTCAAAGGCCTTGCTGAAGTCCAGAAAGACTACATCCACGGCGACACCTGCATCCAATGCTTTTGTGACCTGATCGTAAAAGGCAATCAGGTTGGTCTGACATGACCTGCCCCTAATGAAACCGTGCTGGTTGCCCTTGAGCATCATCCCCGATGCCGGCCCATCACAGATGTGCTCCTTGATAATCTTCTCAAAGAGTTTCCCCAGGATTGAAGTAAGACTGACGGGCCTATAGTTGCCCGGGTCCTCCCTCCCTTTCTTAAAGATGGAGACCACATTGGCTATTTTCCAATCATCTGGCACCTGGCTCAAGCACCACGAGCGCTCGTAAAGCCGTGCCAAGGGCCCAGCAATAACCCCTGCTAGCTCCCTCAACACCCTCGGGTGGAGAGCATCTGGATCTGCTGAAGAGCATCTGGACCTGCTGATTTGATGTTCCACTAATCAAGCTACCCTTTCTAAGGGCAATTTTGCTGTTCATAACCTTCCATAACTAAAAAACTTTTTCTTCGTTCTGCCTTTCAATAACAGGGCATGTATTATATTCCAGGGTATGCCATATGCAAGAAAATATGATGATTTAGTTTTTCTAGTAGGCAGTGATTTATTGTGTAGAAGAGTATGCCAGTGTTGTGTATGTTACTCTCATGGTGGCAAGGCCTTTTCAAAGAAAATCTAAATTTGTATGACCTTCTTTAAAAGGTTGCTTCATTGCCAGCCCCCTCACAGCAGAAAACCTTTCCCCCAAAATTCTGATGTGCTTTTTCCTGGTCTTTTGGATCTGAATTATCCACCTAATGGGTAAAATATCCATTTTTATTGCTAAAGAAAAACACAAAAATAACCCCTCTTGAAGGCCATGATAGTTTTCTAGAATAAGGATGACGAAGCTGTGATGTATATTCTTAAAATATGATGGATATTATAAATTGCTATGCAATAATGTGTGCAATAATTGTCATTCACACTAAATATATAATTTGCCAAAAACAGTAATTTCTTAGAATATAATTAATATTAAATAACACTCCTTGCTATCATTTCATTCCATCCAGGAAGAGCACACACCAACTGCTGCAGCTTCCTGAGCCTGACAAAGGGTTTTTGAACCCGAAAGCTTGCTTAATAACTATTCTCCAACCATTTGGGTTGGTCTAATAAAAGATATCAAATTCACCCAAGGAACTTTGTCTGCCTATATCCTTAGACCAACACGGCTACAACCTAAACCCCTGACTCCTTGCTATCATAATTTATCAATATACTTTGGTGAAGATCTTTTCCTAAGTTCCAATGATAACTATGTTCAACAGAAAAAGGAATAATTAAGCTTATCCTTTGTTAGTCTGAAGGTGTACTTCTTCATCATTACCTCTCAGCCTAGTAATAAATAACAAAAATGAACAGAATAAAAAAAATCTTTAAAAGAATTTCCAGTAGGTTACAGCTCCATCGATCATCTTGGTTTATTACAGAAATAATTTTACATGTGCTTATTTTAATTTATGAAGTCTGGAATATTGGAGAGAGAGTCTTTTTGTCTAGTTTGTTCTGTTACATGAGCAATAGGTGTAAATACTCTGTTTCTTGGCTGCCTCATATCTCCCTATTGTTTGAAGCATTTTAGAATGACTCTGTTACCTGTCACTATTTTCCTGTTATACATTTTTCTCTTTTAATATTTCAAGATCAATAACATGATCCAGAACACATTCAGGACATCATCAAGCATGATGATGACTCATCCACTCAGTTCAGCACATAAGGAGTTTTCCACACATCTACAAATTATCCTCACACCTGTAAAAGTATTTAAATGTGGGGGATACAGTTGGTTATGACAAAGCTTTTGAAGAACACCACAGTTCTTTAACACCTATAGTCTTGACAGCTGTTAGCATGACTCTTTCAGATCACTGGCTTACAAAATTTGTAGTCTAGATATGCCCCAGAGACAGAAAACAAAATGTGGAGCAGCACAGAAACATATGCTTCATTAGATAAATGAAACAATGGAAATATTTCAGGGGTTTCTTCATTACCATTTCCATGTCACCCTAAGTTATTGCTCAGAATGAAACTGTGGCATACAATATCCATGCCTTCTACCAAGTTAATTGGAATAGGTGCTTTTTTGAAAATCCCATGAGATTTCTCTGCACCTGTCTACCTGTAAATCAGCCCTGAAGAGCATACATATGTAGATGCCTTATAACTTACAAGTGCTTATTGCAAAAGACTATGTCTAGCCCTTGAATTTATTTTGTATGAACATGACAAAGCTGCTTCTTGAAAACCACAAAAAACAATGCAC